AACTCTAAAAAAAAAAAAAAAGATGAATACCAAGTGTAGTAGTGAATGCTGGATTATGAGGACCTAGTGAATGTGGCCATAGGATCTGTATCTCTCACAAATTGTATAATATATACTAATTCTAGCATTAATGGCATGAAGCAATAAATTCAATCTGTGTCAATGTAGCTGAGGCAATTATTTACACCTTTTTAGTTGTAAATAAATATTTATTCTTTAAAGCCACATCAGCAGTGAATGAGCAAAAAAGTGATTAATAAAAATACAATGAGTTTGGTACCTAATTCACCAAAGAATCATTACTGAGTTACAATGAACAAAATGTGATATGGTGAATTAGGAGCTAAGCAGAATGTAACTTCAGTTTTACAGCACAGGAGTAAAATGGTGCATTATGAGCAGTAATGCCAAGTTGCATTATTTTGTCATGTTTATGAGATGTCACATATTGTTTGAGTTAAAGCAGACTTTTGAATGTGTTTTTTTTTCACTCAAACATTTTTGAATGGATAAAACATTGTAATAAGATTAACAGTAATGAAATGTTGTTTTTTCATTTAGTTATTAGAGAAAAACACCTTATAGCCACTGATACTTACCAGTGCTTGGGATCTGTTTTTCAAGATTCGTTTTACATATTCAATAAAATAATTAACTGTATCAAAACTGTAAACAGTACTATTATACAGGAGTTCCAAAAATTGTGTGACATATCACTGTGACAAGACAGTAACACTTTCAAACATACAGTTGATGAATGGCACTTATATTCAGATTTTTTGCTATAATAAGCATACCCCTTGCTTGGTCACAAAATACATCATTAACAGACATGGTGACAGAAAAGGCTATGTGCATCCTGTGGCTAGCAGAGATGACATACCTACTCTAGTGTAAAGATAGTATTGTAGAGTGTTTGTAAAATATCCACTAATTAAGAATTTTAACAAGAAATGTCAGGAATTGTATTACACATAGTCACTGTCCATCACTCCTCTGGACCTTCTGGAATTCTTTGAAGGACATCATCTACAGAACAAAGTTGACTGATCTGGGGACTGTATTAACAGATCACCAATACAATAACGTAGCAGCTGCTACGATGCCCTGTAAGTTGCCTAACACGTTTATTATTAACTGAATATCTTGAGGGCCAGAAATGGAGTACATACAGAAGTGTATTTGAATGCAAATGATGTTAGGCAAAAAACTATGTATGTGCCCTTTATCCACCAAAATTGGTAAGTGTTACCGTCTTGTTGTGGATTAAGTTTAATAGATGTCACACAATTTTTGGACATCCTATGTAAGTAGGCATAAGAAATATTGATCTTTGCAATGTATCATGATAATTTCTACCACACTCAGTTTTCTGGCCAAAATGTCTGAAGATAAGAAAGGAGAGGTAGTTCGGTCTATCAAGTTAACTGGATTTGGAGGATATGACTGTCTGGTTGTTCAAGAAGCACCGTGTCCTCGTCCAGAATCTGGAGAAATAACTGTGCAAGTGAAGGCATGTGGAATGAATTTTGCTGACCTGTACACACGACAGGGTCTGTATACTTTTGATGGACGTAAACCGCCCTTCGTGATGGGCATGGAGTGTGCTGGGGTAGTAAAAGAACTTGGCAGTGGAGTCGAGGGGTTCAAGGTTGTTGTTTGTTTCGTGTATTTATACTTAAAGTAAAATAAATAGGCTTGTAATTTATCTAACTGTTACAGGTATATTAAACTAATTTTTTCTTCTACACCTTTTATCTTTGAATTAATTATCAATGATGTATTGCCTAAGTAAAAAAAAGTTTTGAAATGAACAAACTAACAGGATTTCTACAATAGTTTTGATAGTTGGAATCTTGAGTTTTATTTTTCAATGATGCTGATAACAAAATTTATAATCAGACATCTGGTTTTGTCACTTTAGTCACATGTGTGCTTAATTTAATTACATTTATAAGATGGATAGAAATTTTTCCTGTCATTTAAAATTCAAAGTGAATTCTGGGTAATTTAATTTATGTGTATAGCTGTGATATGAGAAACTGAAACGACAAACTTTATTCTGAGTTATGTGACTTTAAGTTATAAATATTAAACATTTAATTTAATGCCCTTGTAAATCTGTTTTGTGTTTGTGTGTGGATAATGTTGGTATGTTCTTTGAACCTATCAAATGATGGTGAACATAAATTATTTTGTTTAATGCCATCATTAAGGGTGGTGAACCAACAGATGATACTTATCCCATAGTAGTGAGGATTTAATGAACCGTGTTGTTCCAGTCATGTTGAAATAGATCATTAGATTAGACTGCTTAGATTCTCTTATGGTAGTGATGGATTATTAGACTTAGACTGCTTGATTCCATCAGAGTTATACTGGGTCAGTAGACTTTGTTTATCCCACCATGTTAGTGGTGGATCATTAGGCTATAATGCTTCTTGATTCTGTGATGATGATGGTGGATTACACAATTTATTGTTAAAATATTGATTTTCTGCCTTACGTTAGGAGATGTGCATATTCTTATTCAACCAGATATATTTGAACCCTTTTAGGTAGGGGATCGGGTTGTTTGCTGGAGCTTTCACTATGGCATGTGGCAAGAAGTTGTCAAGATCTCAGGCACTGCATGTCACTGTATCCCTAACAGTATGTCGTATGAGGAGGCTGTTGCCATGCCGGTCAGCTACTTGACTGCTTATTTAGTTCTATTTGACTTTGGGAACCTGCGTCGTGGCCAAAGTGTCTTGATTCAAGCTGCTGCTGGTATGTTTTGACGAACGTGTTGTTTTTGTTACTGAAAAAAAAAGTTCTGTATCTTCAGGATCTGGCTTCTTACATTGAGAAATTTATGATCAAAGAGTATTAAACACTTTGCGTTAATTACTGCATTTCACTCCATTTATAAACAAGTTCTGTTTATCAGTAAAAAAAACTTGCTTATAAGCAACGTTAATTTTAAGCAGTACAACCTTGCACAACTGTGAGCCTCTCTGCATAACCTTTCACAGCATATAAAGTAGTGCTTAGATGCACACAACTAGTGAACTTGAATATTTACCCTCACTTTCTAAGTCTTCTTGCTACTTTATTGTTTGAGTAATACTACTTTGTACTTGGCATAGTATAAAAACAAGTTTAATAGTAAAACTTTCTTGTAACATTATAAACAGTGTTTGCTACTAAACCCGGCCCAATTTGTGTAAGATTATAAACAGTGTTTGCTACTAAACCCGGCCCAGTTTGTGTAACATTATAAACAGTGTTTGCTACTAAACCCAGTCCAATTTGTGTAACATTATAAGCAGTGTTTGCTACTAAACCCGGCCCAATTTGTGTAACATTATAAACAGTGTTTGCTACTAAACTGGCCCAATTTTTGTAACATTATCAGCAGTGTTTGCTACTAAACTGGCCCAATTTTTGTAACATTATAAACAGTGTTTGCTACTAAACCCAGTCCAATTTGTGTAACATTATAAGCAGTGTTTGCTACTAAACCCGGCCCAATTTGTGTAACATTATAAACAGTGTTTGCTACTAAACTGGCCCAATTTTTGTAACATTATCAGCAGTGTTTGCTACTAAACCCAGCCCAATTTGTGTAACATTATAAACAGTGTTTGCTACTAAACCCAGCCCAATTTGTGTAACATTATAAGCAGTGTTTGCTACTAAACCCAGCCCAGTTTGTGTAACATTATAAACAGCAGTTGCCGTTAAATCTGGCCCAACTTGTGTTGTTTATAAGCAAATCCTGTTTATATCCAAATTAAGCCAAGTTAAAAACATAGGAAATATATCATTACATGCATAAATTCTTGATTATATCCAACATACCTATAACAGTCATTCATCTGGATCAATTTTGACTGAATATCTAATATGCAAAAGGTTTATTATTTTTAGATTCGAAGTTTCAATATTTGTTTTTGAAGTTTTAAATTTTAATAAATAAACTCCATGTTTTGTTTTGTTTTAGATAGATTATTAATCATCTCATTTATTATTTTGATCCATATTTTTGCACATATTGTAATGTTACAAAGCAAATGAAATGGAATCTAACAAGTTTTTTATTAGAGTATAACTTTTGTAGTAATGCTTTTTTTTTGTCATGAAAGTAAATTCTAGTTTTCTTTTCAGTACATGTTATTTTCTGGTCATGGCCTGTATTTCTAGCAATTAACAATTCCCATGAAATGTTTTATTGTTTTAATTCTGCTTTTTCAGATTACAATTGAACTTGTGTACATATTGAATAGGCCCATCCAATGTGACTTTTATCAGGTTATCCTTACGGTCTTCTGTGAGGTGACACTGTGTGGCAGTTTTAAACAGGAAAACCATGGTCACAAGAAACACTGACATACCACTACAGAAATTGAAGCAAGTGCTAAAAATTGTAGGTAGACATCAGCATAATCCATGACAAGTAGCTTGGCAGAAGTCTCAAAGTTTGGTTGGCCACGCCTCGAAATATTGTGAATTTCATTTGCCAAAAATTGTGGCATTTGTTGATGTTATCATAAAATTGCTACACTACATGTAAATATTCCATTCCATACCCATGAAAAGACTTGTTGTCTTTTTCTCTGTTCTATGTTGGGAGCACAGTACAGAGTGGTCCAAAATTAAATGTCCTGTTTTAAAGTTTAATAATTAACTAACTAAGGAAATATAACCATGTCGTTTGTAACATCTTGTAGCCCAACTCAAACAGCTTTTATTGACATCTCAGTAGACTTCTACTGTGTTCACTATTAGTGGCTCTCAACACATCTAACTGACATTCGATTTCAGTCCACATTTGCTGCAACATGTTCAAAGGTACAGTGGCGATGATGTATGTTATCCTAGTCTTTACCTTTGTGATGTTTGCTATAGGTGTGTCATACACTATATCCTTAACATACCCCCAAAGAAAGAAATCTAGTGGAATGATGTCTGGCAAACGTGGAGGCCATGAAATTGGCCCACCAATCCATCACCTCTAAAATGTCTGATATAGGAAGCATCTGACCAATAAACTCCAGTAAGATTATCTGTGGCTGCATTTACTCCAGTCATGTGACCATACATTGTTCAAGCATGTCAAGGTACATGTTCCCAGTAACAATGCTCTCATCCTGTCATACATTCACCTTCATGCATGATTTCAATGGTGTCATGGGGGTTTTCTGAGCCACAACTGTGGACATTATGATGATTCACTTTACCCAAGATATGAAACGTAGCCTCGTACCTGAACAGTGCACGAGGTACAAATGTGTTGTCTTCATCTATGCCATCAAGGAGGTTCACCACAAATGTCTTGAGCTTTGATATGTCATCTGGTTGCAGTACCTGTACCAACTAAAGTTTGTAGACGTGCAGATGAAGTTGTTTGTGAATGACATAGAACAGGGTTTGTTTTTGGCATCTTAAACAATTTTTGTGGGCTGTTCTGAAATGATTTGCGTACTTATTTGATACGTTCATCACTGACAGAGGGTCTTCCAGCTCGTGGTTTGCTCTAACATACTTCCTGTCACCAAGAACTTCTTCATCCACTCTTGGATAGTTTGTTTTGATGGTGGTTCTTTCCTGTACTGACACCTGTAATTATGCTGCACCACAGTCACTGACTTGGTCTCTGCGAGTGAAATGATGCATTGAGCCTTTTCTTGCACAGTTGCCATTTTACGAGGTAACACTAATCACTGGAGTGAAAAAACACATGACAATAAAAACTGTTTGAGTTGGGCTACGAGATGTTGAATACTGTATGATTGTATTCCCTCGGCTATTTAATTATTAAGTTTTAATAAAAATGGGAAAGATAATACTGGACCACCCGGTGTTAAGATAATACTGGATCACCCGGTGTTAAGATAATACCGGACCAACCGGTGTTAAGATAATTCCGGACCACCCGGTGTTAAAATAATTCCGGACCACCCGGTGTTAAGATAATACCGGACCACCCTATGTTAAGATAATACCGGACCACCCTGTGTTAAGATAATACCGGACCACCCTGTGTTAAGATAATACCGGACCACCCGGTGTTAAGATAATACCGAACCACCCGGTGTTAAGATAATACCGAACCACCCGGTGTTAAGATAATACCGGACCACCCGGTGTTAAGATCATACCGGACCACTCGGTGTTAAGATCGTATCGGACCACCCGCTGTTCCATATTCTTCCACTAATGCTGACAGCTTTTTTTAGTAACAATTCCTTTGGATAATATAATAAAAAGATATTATCAACCATAATTATCAAATTTACCTGCTGGAGCTTTAGTTTGAACCTCCTGGACAAAATCCATAGAGCGGTAATCGATAGCATGAGTAACTCCATTCTCACGAATAATATCATGCTTGAATGCAGAGGCTGTTCCAAAAATGGTCACTTCTTCTACAAGTTTGCAGAGTTGGGTAACAGCCCACCCTAAACCTCCTGAAATAATTAATTAAGTCATATCACAAACCTACCTTATGACTACATTACTGATACATATCAGGAGCTAAATATTAAATATTTAGAGATTGTGTACAGAAACCGTTTTTGTACTTTTACAGAAAATATGATCAACTTGCCACAAAGGCAAAGAACCTAATTGTAAAAGACCTTAAACGATCTCAATGTTTCACACCATCTTTTGAATTTAAAAACCAGGTAACTTGACCAGACATAATGTATCTGTTAATGTGAATGTTATGCTGCATTAATGGTGTTGCATCAAATAACTATAATTGTCAAAGCGGGTAAATCCACTTGTTGCATCAAATGGCTATAAATGTCAAAGTGGATATATCCGCTTGACTCATCATAAGGGTTAACTTGGATACGTAATGTTGATTTCATATTTACATCAAGGATAAAGGAAATGAAAGAAATGCATTCCCCTTCCCAAAAGTTCTTGACACATCAGCATCTATGACCCAGAGTAACATCAAAGTAAAGCTAATTATTGGTAAAACACTGTTAACACTTTTGAGCCCAGTATCTGATGTTTTATATAAAATGCTATCTGAACCTATCCTCAAGTCAACCACAAACTGAAGACTAAAATTTCCAAATATCTTGTCAAAGCAGGTAAATCCACTTGTTGCATCAAATAACTATAATTGTCAAAGCGGGTAAATCCACTTGTTGCATCAAATAACTATAATTGTCAAAGCGGGTAAATCCACTTATAGTTATTTGATGCAACAAGTGGATTTACCCCATGGCTTTACAAAACCCTTTCCTTCCGCTGAGATAAGTGGAAGGAAAAGAAATACGTAAGGAATTTAAATCTAAGTTAACTGCATTATAAGAAAAAAAATCCAAGTAAATCATGAATTAGGAGAATAATAAAACATTATTATAAATAAAAATAAATTCTACTCTTTGCTTCTGAGTGAAATGGGCTATTGCTGAGTTTCACGGGTTGATAGAGTTATCCACTTATCCGTAACATTTGAATAATATTTAAATCAAAATAGTAAAACATAAAATGAATAACTTGTTTAAGAACCCTTAAAATAAAAAATTAGTTTGATGGCTATGACATAGATACTTCTTTCACTCAGTTCTTCACAGGATAACAGTTTTCAATTTGAATCATGATCAAACGATCAACTTGATGTCCATTCATTGGAGCTGATATCAGTTTTAAGCTACTGTGTATCCAACCATGGTATATTAGTTACCTGATAAGGCTGTACCAGTTTTAAGCCACTGTTTTCTAACCAGGATATGTTTTAAATCTTTTTTTATTGATGTTTCTAAGTAGAAAACATATCTGAGTTTTTTAAAATCTTTTTTCTATACATCTGAACTCGTACTTGAAGTTTTTATTACAACACACAGATACTTATCTTCATTATCATGGGGGATTCTAAGATTTATATTTAATAGAAGTATTTAACTGATTATTTTATACTTCTTGTTGGGTTTAACTTCGAGAAATACCATGATGTGTATTCCACCACTTTAGTAACAGAAGAAGTAGGATTATTGCTATTACTGCACTTAAAGAATACTTCACTGTAAGGTGCAAATACTAGCTCAGTATTATCGTGTATTTAAATCTAAATTCAGTGGTAAAGAATATTTAAACTGTATAGCCCTCTATCTCCTCTGCAGGTGTGGATATCATTGTTGACTGTCTCTCTGGCTCAGACTTCATTCGTTCTCAGAAGATATTGAAACATATGGGTCGTTTGATTCATGTTGGTAAGGGTTCTGGTTTATTAACAGATAGATAGTAAGATAGTGTACTTAACGAACTAAACTGTATAGATTTGCACCTACTTTAATAAGTATGTATTATATACTTTTACCTTATACTTTAATGAGAATCTCAAGAACATTACAGTTAAGGACCAGAGTTTAAAAACAACATGATGTATAAACTACGTGGTAGGCTTTTCCCCCTCGTTTTGATTTTTGTAGAACACTCAGTATCATGCATCAGCAAATTGTGCCACGTTACAGTTACGTTGCATCTATGTCATTTTACAAATACAAGTGGTTCTAATAACAAAAATTTGATTACTACTATTACATTTGAAGAATTTGTGAATGCAAAGTTTGAAATGATATCCCAAAAAAAACAACCCTGTTTGTAAGCCATAACAATACCAATCACCTAAAGAAAGTTATTGTACGAAAATGTTTGCTTTTAAAGATTTTGCACCCAGAAAAAAAAAACACTTAAAAACTAGATTTTTACTAATGGCAAAGCTCAACAATTAGGTAGATTTTTTGCCAGGACAAAATCTAGAACCCAAAATGCTTCCATTTTTCAAAAGAGCACCCGAGTTAAATGTTTTTTGTTTGTTATTCCAAATGAAGGTCAGCAGTTGAATAAACTTTTATTGTTAATTGTCCATCAGGTCAGAAAAACATGTATGAATTATTACCAGTTTTTCTACTTCAATTGAACTGCTGCTTTTTTTATGTGATGTTTTCGTTCCCGTTCTCACTACTGTTACTCGTAGAACACCAACCCAAAGAGATTCAGGTTGTTTTTGTTTTTTGTTCTGAGAAGGTTATGATTCTATTAATTTGAGTTGTGTAATGTTATCGTACATGAGGTAATGATAATGCCATCAAAGTACATATGTGGAACATTTTTCTTGCTAAAGTTATTTAATAAACAGTGACATACATTGTTAACTGTGTGGGATGTCACTTTCTACTGACCAAATGAAGTAAATTAGTTTATTCACAAAGTTTGACTTGAAGTCTAGATTTTGCCCTTTCTTCATACAGGTAATATTTGTAGAGAATTCAAATGAGTATTTGCATGGAATACTGTTGAATTTTGTCTCTGGTAAAAGAAATTCCAAATTATCCTAACAAAGCAAGTTAACATGTACATTAAAATAGAATACCATTTCAGGAAACTATACTGTAAATAAAGATTCTAATAAAACATTTCTTGAAATAAACCAACTCTAATTAATAAATCTTAAGATTCTACAATAATCCAAGGTCAGAAATTCTAGTAGGTTTTATTTTTTCTATCGTGAATATTTAAAAATATTTCATGTTATCTGTACTTTCTCACAATAAACTCTGTAAATTTATTGTAAAACACTGAACGTTTACTGTGAAGTTTAGAATCAGATGTAGTGCTGACAATTGTGATTCCTCTACAGCAGTAAAAAAAGCAGTTTGTTAAATGATTAATAATTTTTCATTAAAAGGAAGTTAACTGTATGGAGCATGCTAAAAAAGTAATATATTTTTTTAAAGTTATAAGTTAATGAAATAAGTGATAAAGCCTATAATGAGTGGAATGTAACAAGATTTTTAAACTACCTCGTGAGGATTTTCCAGCTTTGGAGATTTATATTAACCTTAAATTCATGCATTAAGCAAACAATAGAACATCAGTATTTAAAATTGTTTTGAAAATTATAACCATTAAGATAAATGAAGTTAACTTTAAAGAAAAATGAAGCATTCCGTGCTAATTATCACAAAGATTTTAAAATAAAAAATGACTTCTTATTTAGGAATTAAGCAAGCAATAGAACATCAGTATTTAAAATTGTTTTGAAAATTATAACCATTAAGATAAATGAAGTTAACTTTAAAGAAAAATGAAGTATTCCGTGTTAATTATCACAAAGATTTTAAAATAAAAAATGACTTCTTATTTAGGAATGCATACAGCCTGCTGTTATATAATGTATATCAATAGTTTGTTTAAGTTCCCACCAGGTGATTTATTGCTTTATTTTATTACATTAGTTAGACTTGACTCAAAGAACAATAAAAAAAATTATAATTACGAGAAAGCAGAGGTGAAACTGTTAGAAGCTTGAGGCTGTTTAGGATAAATATTGTAATTGTCTGTCACAATCTACAGTCATTCTAGAAAGAAAAAAAGGTTTTTATTTTATTTTATTTCGTATTTTTCAATTTTCACTATAGTTAGTGTTAGGCTAAAGAAAATATGAGATATGGTATGAAGTTTTATGGGAAAAAAACTTTTGATATTCATTTATGAGTTTCTAGAGGTTATGCGATTTAAATATGGAAACTGTAAGATGAAAAGAAATATTTTCATTTCTAACATAAAAACTGCCTCGGTAGAAGCTACATAAATTCACAGACAATTGTTAGTGAAAATACTTTATTAAGAAATCAGATTCTTTTTGTGTTAAAACATACTTGTAATAGCTATTAACTTGCCATATTTCAAGATTCACTTTGTACATTCAAAGTTAAAGTATGTGTAGTTTCATGGTTACAAGGTCAGTCAAATTGACCCATCTCCACAGACTATTCACTCACCTCTTCTAAGCAACGCCCAATTTTAATTTATTTCAAACTCTGAATTATTCAGATAAAAGTTAGTGAAACTGACTTGAATATTCAGTGAAGAAACTGTGTAACGTATGATTATAATTTCGGATCCACATTCCAAAAATAACTTAATTATTAGTTTATTTTTCAGTATAATTTGTGAAACAACTGTATGTGAAAATGATCACGTCACCAATAGTCTTATCTCTTAAGGTATCAGTAATATGATTGGAGGAGAGAAACGTAGTTTACTGCGAGCATTGAAAGTCTGGTGGCAAATGAAAAATATAAGTCTGTTGAACTTGGTCAAGAACAATCATGCCGTGTGTGGATTTAATTTGGGAACCCTTGCCGAGACTGATCCTACCCGGGTCAAGGAGATAATGGGTCATCTTTTGAGCCTTTACGAAGAAGGCAAGGTTAAACCAAGAATTGATTCCGTATGGACCTTTGATGAGGTAGGAAATTTTTAATCTTGGAGAATAGTCATTTACATCCTGTGTTTGATTCCGTATGGACCTTTGATGAGGTAGGAAATTTTTAATCTTGGAGAATAGTCATTTACATCCTGTGTTTGATTCCGTATGGACCTTTGATGAGGTAGGAAATTTTTAATCTTGGAGAATAGTCATTTACATCCTGTGTTTGATTCCGTATGGACCTTTGATGAGGTAGGAAATTTTTAATCTTGGAGAATAGTCATTTACATCCTGTGTTTGGTTACGTACGTGTGTTTGATTAGATGAAGCAGTTGTACTGAGAAATGTATTTTTAAGGGTTTTTTTGATGAAATTCAGCAACTGACGGCAGTAATTTATTCTGAGAACATAAGAATAAAAACTGAAAAGTTAACTGGTTTATAAATCAGGTTGGTTGTGGAACTTTCCTTTTGTTAACTTAATGCTCCCTAATGTTTTATTTTTTTTTGCAGTGGTGTATTTGTTCATTTGGTGCTATCACTGTTTTCTGTAGTTTTAAAAGAAATTTACCAAACCTTCAAGGCATTAATGTTGGATACATGTTTGAAAAAAGTACAAATGTTTGTGTTGTGGTCCATATGGTTGTGTGTGCTTGCAGAAATGTGAGTGAACCCCTGAATAGGAATTTATACGTATCTAGCTCAAAGTTGGTAAAATTATGGTACTCGGGTCCTTCTTGTTTTTAAAATCAGAGGCAATTAAAAATAAAAGACCTGACCACTGATCTAGAGTGATATTCCTTAACTTACAAATGCAATTGTAATGTATGGCTTGTCACCTTACTGAAACAGGCATAATACAACAATATAATGTGTTCATTCATCCTTCTGTTGCCTTGTGTGTCAGCCTGGCCTTAGAGACAGAAATCTATAACTTGTACTATTGCAAATAAGATAAAAATAGTTGATTTTGCAATTAAATATTTGATCGTTGTGCATATTGTTAATCATGCTTTATTAGAGCAATTTGCACAGGCTGATGCACTGGTGTGTCGTTACAATCTGTGTGCTGTAGCTCTGTGAATGACATGTTTAGCACCTTTATGTTTGGTTTATAGTAAATGCTGCCAGGATGAACTTACAGCTGGAGGATATCGCACAGGCCTTTCCAAGAAAGGGTATTGTTGTAGCGTGGACTTACAGCTGGAGGATATCGCACAGGCCTTTCCAAGAAAGGGTATTGTTGTAGCGTGGACTTACAGCTGGAGGATATCGCACAGGCCTTTCCAAGAAAGGGTATTGTTGTAGCGAGATTGTCAGGTGACACAGAGGCAAAGAATGGAATGTTTCATATAAGAGTAATCTTCACTGTAGCATACAAAACTTGCACAACAAAGCTTTGCTACCACACCCCGAAGTCAATCTGAAACTATACCCTTATCTACAAGGTGAAGAATATGGTTACGAAAGAAAAACTCTCTGAACCAAAAAGCCATTGCAATAAAGCTGGCATATCTCCTGGTTCTATTAACAGTATAAAAAACAAAACAAATAATTTATAATCACAATGGATTTACTAAAGCTCAAGCTCAGTAATACCTTCAAAAGAAGTGGTACATTGGTACAAAGTGGTACATTTTGGTCCCTTGCCTTCTCTTCGTTATTCACATTCTTGGCTAGTTGATTCATCATTGAATGATTATAATCTGAAAAAGACTGGAAGGTTGTTGTTCTATTTTATACTTTCTAATAGAAAAAACATGACTTAAGGTTCCTTCAGTAGTCAAAATAAAGTTCATGGGCATTTATTATCTTTGGAAAAACCTTTAAACTTCTGGGTTTGATACAGTTCGTTTTTTATCTAACTTTTTTCAATAATTCATTTAGTTCTTCATTTTTGGTACATACTAATATTCGTCGTTTATTTCTTCTTACTTAAGAAATTAATATTTTAACCAGTTTATTGGTGGATTTGGCTTTATGTAATCTTGGTTCTTCTAGTGCAATACCCCATAAGAGTTAAGACTGCTAGTAACCCTTAACCCTATTACGGTTTGTTCTCTGTAACCTAAAGAAATGTTCTCTCTTTTTTCTTTTTTATTGCTTGGTAAAACTGATTGATATTTATAAAAGGGGGTGACGGGTTGTTTGTTTAACATAAATGCAAACAAAAAGTTAATTGCATATTGAGTAAGTTTCATTTTATTTACAATTTAAAATGTTTTGTTGTAGATTACGATTATTAAAATGGTGACAGTTTTAATACTGATTTTTTTTTTTCCATGGGCTAAACTACATTTTTTTTTTCATTGATTTTCATATGTAAAATTAAATACTGCAAAACGATAGGGAGATTCTGAGAGAAATAAAAACTCAAAACGCAGACCCTAATAACTCACCATTATTAAGATTTACTTGTTTCTATCATTTCAAATATCATGGTTTTGACACAATGCTTCCAACCTAGTAGAATAATTCATGTCACCTGTCTACGTTCTTCTTAATATCACATGTAAGTACGATTCAAATGATAAGGTGCCTCTGATTGAGACAGTCTAGGTAGTACTAACTATACCTGTTCTTTTATGCCATTTCATCTTCACATTTGCAAACAAAATATTATGATGTAGTTTCATTGAGTTTTAATGAAGTTTTATACGAGTAAGGAGTATACTGTGCCAGGATAGTCTTCCTTCAATTTCAGCCCATTTAATGACTGACTGAATAATAGAATCCTAAGTGGAGAATCCTGAAGTTTTGTTTTTTATAATTTTTAAAATATCATGAATATTTTAAGACCTTTGTGGAACTTCAGCTTGTTTAACTCTAGGCTGGATTTTTTTTTTTCTTTCTTTCTTTCCTGATACTCACGGCATTTATCCATAAGTGTGTTAATGATGTGTTTTGCAATGTCTTCAACATATGTCATGAAGCTGTTAAGGTATTATAATTTCATAGCCCTGTTTCTTCATGATGCCTATTCATATAGACTTAAGTGTGCCTCATCACACTTGTGCAATGTAGAGACTACCAATGATAACATTGACGTCGAATTTTATACACCTGAAATGTTATCATCACTTGGATTTTTACAAGAGTTCATTACTTTACTCGTTTAGTGCAAGAATTATGCTATGTATGGAAAAAATATTTAACTAACAATGTTTTATGGTTTAACTAAAATCTGAAAACGTTCTAGCATGATGGATCAAAACATCGATACTGAAAAAAAAGTAAATAAATAGGATAAAAGAAAATGTGTGTGTTTGTTCATTTGCATTTATTTCATTTTTTTTATCATGCTTGTTTTATACATTCTCAACAGTCCCTACCCAAGTTTTTAAGCAAGTTTTCTTTTTCTTGTTTTGGGCAAACCAGTCTTGAATTTTTTAAGTGTATAAAAAGTTTCTTCATTCATCCCCGTAAGTACTTTTCATCTTCTTTGTTTTTACTGTACTAATGATGATAATTATTATTTTCTTGAGGTTTTTATCATTGTAAATAAATTACAAAAACTTCTTCCTTACAGTGCATAAGGTCTTGATCCCTGTAGTTGTCCACAGTGTTTAATGAATACTGTCATATTTGCTCGAATGTAATGCACCCCTGAATATAACGCACACCCAATTTTGAAAGGTTAAATTGAAGAAAATGTTTTTTTTTGTTTTGGTTTTTTTTTACACATCGGTTGTACAAAATGTATTGAATAGTTTATAAATACAATAAACAACTATCAACGTATTAAACATTTTTGGAAATCTTTCATGGAAATTTTATTATTCGTCAATCTTACAATATTTCTTGAAAAGTTTATATGTGGTAATACACTAAGCTAATCATTCATCTTCACATAAATCGTAGTCTTCGGTAGAATTGTTGCTACCTGATTTCATTGCATTTGCTTCCTTAAACCTTTGCTTCATCCTCTTCTGATTCCCACAGCATGTCATCATCCGTCCCGTCCATTGCGTTGGACATGCAACATTTTTTTAAACCTTTGATAATTTTTGGTGGTAGCTTCTACTAAAATACGTAACAAAATTGAACATGCCCGAATATAATGCACAGTCCATTTTTTGGGAGGTATTTGGAGGAAAAAAAAAAGTGTGCATTATATTTGGGCAAATACTATATATTACTTGCTAGGTTGTGGATTTGTTTCATCTTGGTCATCATCACGTGTATGTTATACAGAGAGTGTATACTAGTTTATCTCTGTGACAATGAAAATGTAAATTTATGACTTCATCCAGAGATAAAAACAGTTAAAATATCCAAAATATTAATGAAGTTCTCTTTCAAAGCATGGGAAAATCTTCTGTAATATAAAGATTAAATTTATATCTGTTGATTACATTTGAATTCTTCTCTCAAAGCTTACCACAGCCTCTGAAACTTGCCAATTTTAATAAGGCTGTTAGTTATATTTATTGAATTGCTTCATCATCTAAAAATTCAGAATATTAGTACATTTGTACTCTTCACAGTTTCATTACTGGAATGTTAAATTCACTTTATAAAGACTCGCAAAGTTATTCTTATGTTCTATAAGATAAAACTGAGGTTTTTGTATACATGAGATGTAGGTAGATTTTTATTACACACTCAAAATATTCAAGAAATTTTTTGAAATGTGAATTAAGTTAAAAACGATTTACCAGTACAAGTTATTCTTTATACTCTGTAGGTGGTCAATGCTACGAAGAAGATGGTACACAGAGAAAACGTAGGAAAGTTGATTTTGGTGCCTACTAAAGAGAGGACGGAACCGGAGACCTCGGACAAAACGGATGGAGACCCCGCTTCTCAACTGGAAGATTTAGATAGTAAAGATCTGAAGGCAGAAGATTAGAGGTGAACAGAGTTCATCGGATAATCTTGTATTTTATTTTACCTGTGGATCTGAATTTTCTATGTTGTTAATCTGGTGATATTTTGGTTGGCATTTATAGCAATTACTTAATGTGTTCATGTTTATTTTACATGCCGTGTGAGAAGTAAAAGTAATTTTTTATCTAGTTGCAGTAAATGGGTAAATTAAGGAGAATTTTTTTTTTCTACCTATTGTTGTAAAATATGTAATTTGCAGGTCAAAGGTCATTTATTATGTGCCGTAAGCTCGTAATGTTTCCATTTCTATAAAAAAGGTTAAGTTAGCCTATGGTCATTTTTAAATACAAATCTTAAAGGAATAGATAGCTTTTTTTTTATCAGGAATAATTTTGAAACATTCCTTAATGTAGACTATTAAGACAACTGGAGTAACCTTTTTTTACAAGATGTAGTCAATTAAACATTTTGACACTATCTCACAATGTTCTATCATGAGTTAAGTTTAACAGTTTTACAGATTAAAAAAAAAGAAATTTGACATGCATATCTAAACACATGTAAATGTACATATTACTTCAGCAAAGCCAAAATACTGGCTTAATATATCAACAAGCGTAGACAAAAAAAACTTTTTTAGTCAAATTACTCATAATTGAAATGTTTCTGAAGTATTTTGTTATTATGGATGTTATATACATACATCAAAAGTTTTGTAAAATATGAAGACGTTGTGTATTTTCCACAAGTTTTTACGTCTCGTATATAAAATAATATTAACATTAGTAGGGGGTTACTTATGGTTAACAGTAGAGAAGGTCGTTAATTAAGGTGACCAGTTGGCTGACAGAAAACAATGAGGGAAAATGTGCACACCTTTCAGGGTGTCTATGTCCGTTTATCATATTTTTCGCAGCTTGCCATTTCTTGTGTAGCTTTTAGAAATTACTGGTAAGCGGGTTGTTGAGATAAGTATAGTATTAACCATTACATATCCATTTCTGTGTAGAATTATACACTTATAAATACTTCCATGATGCTCACAAAACACAGAATTAAAAGTAGATAAATCGCAATTAGAGAAACTGTAAAAAACAGCTTTTGGAAAAGAAATCTTCCTCATTTTCCTCCAAAAAAAAATGTCTTCTGAAACTGATTGAATTATAACAGTATCTTGAAAATTAACTTTGGTAAGAGACAACTTTGAATGCTGTAGTTTACTGAGGCTACTTAGGTTTAGCGGTAATCCAGGATTACAAATTAGATGAATAGATCCTATTTAAAAAAAATCAAAAATTTTCAAGTATGAAGAAATATATTTTTTCTAGGTTTTTTTGAATGAATATTTTTATGTTGTTTTACTTGCAAGAAATATGAAGCTTTTTCTAGCATTTGATATTTTTAAGATTGTTTGATACTCAGAGTACCCAATTGTTGTAATGATATTTTGTATCTACATATTTTATAACTTTGTGGTTTACTTGTATATTGTTGTTGTTGTTTTTTGGTCACATTGTATCTAGTTTAAAATGTCTAGCATTTTAACATTTTTAACACGTATTAAGATGTTGAGAGTTAATTAAAAATTTCAAGTAATTATGAATATTGTTAAACATTTTTCGAAAAGTGCCAGGAGTTGTGTGTGAACGTGCTGTGTATCCACCAAATACCAAAAGTAGTTTACATCAGTACTCGAGGTGGGGTTGTAGCATCCCATCACAAAATGTGTATGAATCTTTGTTTTTCTTATGGCCACTTTATAAGGACTTTTTTCCACCCCCATTCCTGAATACTCAGAATGGACATTTTGAATTTTTTGTCCACTTTTTGTGTAGAAAAAATATCTGTTTTCAGTTAAGTTTTCTTCTCATATATGTTGTTGACTTGTTATAAAAATGAATTTGTCCATCGTCCCAGAGAATTCATTCCGAAGGTCAGCTGCTATCCCTAATGTTTCGCACAGGGCTGCTGAAAAGTGATTTGAATCTTGGGAGTAGATAAAAGATGTGGGCTTCAGCCTTTACCTTTTATGTCCCGTTTTATTGGGGCCATTTTTTTTGCAAGCCTCTTGGGTTTCCTAGGAGCTGGGGTAATTGTTTCAGTAACTCCCCTGACCTCTTCCATCTTGGCAGTTATTCTACACTTACTGTTTACCTTAGATCACCTCTAACCCAATAGCATTGCATCAACATTTGGCAACGCTTGTCAGCCACTAGTGAACAGCTTACAGTGCTATTATGTTCTTTAATAAAATAGAAATATTTACAGCTTGATAACAGTTAACAACTTTTAAAACAGTTAATAAAGTTTCTTTTAAAGTAGCCCACAATATTACCACCTTTTTTTTTTTGTTTTCACTTGGAGCACTGTTTTATACTGAACCCCATCTGTAGAATCAGTGCTGCCAACAGTAGAAACTGTGTAGTGTGCAGTTTGAGTATATTTTTGTAGTATTTTACAATGTGTTTCAGTATTTTAGAACAAATGGGTGGATTAAGAGTGGTAGTACTGTATCTTGAATCTATTCTCATTTTCCATTGAATTGTTTATTTTTCTTTTATAAGCTTATTGTTTGTGAGATTATATACGATGATTGCTATTTTTTTTATTTGTGATAATAAAGACAGTTCAAATAACAATTATCGTTTTACTTCTATAATAGTTCCTGATTTATATTTAAAAATCAAATTACTAATTTATGTAAGAAGTTCGTTGACACTCGAAAAAAATTAAAGGTTTATAATGTTTTTCATCTTCCAATCTAAGTGGGTTGAGTACATTATATTAAAATGATTTTGGAGCCTTACCACCATGTTTACATTCCATATTGTCCGGGCATGCTCTACCTGACGACTAAACATCTTGCGAATAGCACTGCAACTTGCTCTCCATTGCACAAAGCTACATATTAAGGCTGTCATGTCCAAAGCACACCACACCTCCTTGCATGCTTTCCATAACCCATCTAGTATATGAGGACACTAGTTTCTCAGCATCTGTTCAAACAGCGATCACACACAAAGCTATAGGCACTGCATTTGGTGACTTGACTGATATGTCTTCATATGGAATAACATAAATACCCATTTCATTTTCCAACTGCTTGAGGAATGCAACGGGTAAATGATAATTATAGTTGGAAGCATTACTTGGTGAACATGTACCCTTTACTTTTTCACACTCTTCCCAAATGTAATCAGTATTTGGTGGCACCCCATTACCCCAAAAAATGTCAAATTGTAGTTCTGATACATTCTGTTCTATTGCGACTGTATATTGGCTGTGGTTGTCACGTGATTTTCTGATTTGCATAATCACAATCGTTTTAATATAACGTACTCAACTTTCTATATTGGTATATGAATATTATCAAGACAGCATTTATATGCAGATGCTTTTTAAAGTTACTAAAATGTATTTAAAAAATAATCCAACGCCGGTTTCGGCGTTACTCGGGCAAAACAAAAGTGTTTAAAGCAAATATGTTTAGTGAAATTCTGACTAAAGTACACTCGTTTTCTTAAAATAAAAACAAAATCCATTGAAAGATAACTAACGAAATCTTAATATAATGGAGCATTGGTGTGGCCGTCTATCTATCTATCAATGTGAGCGAAATAAATACTATGGTTCCATTTGTTTTGCTGAAATTATAGCGCCATCTCGTTGCCAGAAGTGGTCATTGAGGCTTATGAATTCAAATTCGATGACGAGGAACCCACTTTGAGACTAATAATGCCTGGAGACGGCTTGAATGGGTAATGAAGAAAAACTTTAATATAAGTTTAACATAACAGCAAAAGTACAACGTTTTGTCAAGGGTTTGTAACTGATGATGACAAAACCTTGTT